GTACAGGAAAGGAGGAGGTCGTTAATCCAGGAAACTGTGAGTGAGTGACAAAAAAATCCAACAAACCAACAATAAAAGAAGAGGACAATTAACAGCAAGGGGCTTCCTCCAAAATCCAACATCCCCACCCAGAACCGCTTTGCAATTCTGCAGGGGGCTAACGAGGAAGCACGCACTGCACCAAATGCACAACCAGCTGATGCAGTAGTAAAGAGAATCACTACTGCTGCCTCCGGGAAAAAGTGGCAGGAACTAGATGATCTTAAGGTCCTCTCCAACCCTAACTATTCTATGACTGTACGATTCTAAGGGTCCATAAAAGTAACCAGGATGTCATTTTCTAAGCATAAGCTCTCTCAGCATAACTAATATGAATAACCACAAGGGATGGCTATCAAAGAAAAGGACAAGTTCAACTGATACTGAGAAAAAAAACCCCAACCATCTAGAGAGTCTACTGAAAGTACAGAGAAAGCATGACAAAGCAGAAAACTGCAATCCCAGAAAAAACTACCAATTATTAATAGTGCCAGCCCCTTTTCCAGTTCCTCTATTTCAGAGAAATGAGGAGAAACATAGTTTCAGGAAAGAAAATTAAACAGAGATGGTGGCAAGGTATCTGTGAACATACAAATGAAAGGGCAGTGAAGGTATGAGGCAGGTGAGCACGAGATACTAAAAAAAAGCAATACGTTAAACAGATGTGTTGCTCTGTGGATTACTGGTTATTCTTTTCTTATCACAAAAGAGGAGTTTTTTTGAGAGAAGGGGGCAGGTTGCTTCTCGTGAGGATGCCAAAAATCTAAATTTCTACTCCCCTTCTGTAGTTTCTGTGCTGACATGGACTTGTGGACATCCCCCCAAAATGAGTAGAGACACCAGAGGAAACAGAATGGTTAGCCATTCTTACCTGTCCTGCAGTTATGGAATTCCAACGCACTCTCTATCCGAAAGGCCTTTTCACATGTGGTGCACTTGTATCTGTACTCACTGTCAACCTGAGGATTGCAAATGGTAAGCATTTAAGTGGGAAAAAAGTCAAGTCACATCTGACAGAGACATGGTAGATCTCAACTACTTTTTCTGTTTTCTGTCTTTCTGATTTTTCTTCCTTCAACAGGACATTTAAATACACATTGATGCAAAGTTCTGATGCTGTAGCATCCTGCCATGTTCCCACATCTGAGCTGTATATAAAAATATAAAGTGGACCATGCACCTCTGTGCATGGAACAGTCTCATCGATAACCCGCGTCCCAACACAGTGACAGGATTTTTGAGAAGCAAGATGTAATCTGACTCATCCTCCAGCTCCAGAAGAGATTCCAGCAATCTGAGCGCTTAGGACCTCAATGCCAAGCAGTAATGGAAATATTCACTGATAAGACACTACTACAACCATGTTTAATACTTAAATGGCAGCAGCATTGAAAAGCCCTCACCAACAGGCACGGTGCTCCTACTATAAGCACTGCAGGTTTACACGTGTGCATAGCCCTTAATGACACAGCCTTTACCCAAAGAGTTCATACATTGAGGGACACTACAGGTGGGGATAAATGAAACAGGACAAGCAAACAAGACTGGAATGATCCCATTTAGTGCCATAAACTGAAGTCAGATCTCATCTCTAGATCATGCAGGTCCAGCTAACTCCAGCTTGTCTTGCTGTAACTGATGCCTGAAAATTACTTCCTTTAGGAAATTCAGACACGAAAAAGGACTTGTATGCTCAAAAGCATGTCCATGCTTTGCAAATGCATCAACTGTTCTAACAGATGTTACCTCTCCCTATCAGTCATGTCTAATTCACACAGATACCTTCTCAAATATAACTGACCCAAGCTCCCCAGCCAGCACCTGGAAGCTCACTGTACATTTTCACCTAACCTCGGAAAGAGCCCGCTACTCATTTCCACTCACTTCGTTCCTGCTGTGCTTGTATGAAACATGCTGCTTCAAGCTCTCTTTACGGCTGAACAGCTTTGCGCATTCCTCACATTTAAATAGTTTGTCACCTGAGGGGATCAATCAACATAAAAAGAAAGTAGTCAGTGACTGATAATAACCAACTCCAGGGAAGACAGGGGAAACCAAAGCACAAACACACACAAGCAGGAGAAACCAAAGCACAAACTGCAAACAAACAGGCTAGTGATGAGCCACTTTAGTAATGCAGGAGATCCAAATACTGGATTTTAACCTTTTCCAACAATTTTGACAACAATTTTGTTTGGCTCCCCCACCCTTTTTCAGTGATTATTTCTCAGAGAATCCTTCCAAGTAGGTCATGGACACCTGTAACTGCAGATCACAAGCTAAAACGCACTCAGCTGACGTTTACACACCAACATTACCCATGTGCCTGTGAAGGTGGGATGATGATATATATGTATATATTTAAAGACAAGAACATTTTTGGAAGGAAAATTGCATCCTTGCCCTCATTTAAAATATGTACCTAAATTCAAATTTTAAATAATCCAACTTTCAACTATTATGTTTGCATGCTTTGGTCTGTGTAATGAAAAGTTTCCTAGAGAGACTTAAAAAAAAAACAAACACAAAAAAAGTCCCCAATCCCCCCGCCCAACAGCTCTCTTAAAATTATATATCCCAATATCTAAAAATGGCCCAGCTCTTTTACTCAAAGGTAGAACTAATGAGAAACAAAATCAATATGCAAGCAAGGCAAAAGCAAACCCACCATGAGAACGGATGTGCCTGCTGAGGTTGCTGCTGTTCTGGAAGATCTTACTGCAGATACTGCATTGATAGACTCGCTTGTGCTCCCCAAGCTGTTTTATCAGCTTCCGCCGTATACCATGTCTACTGGAGAGAATTAAACTTCTTTTGAGGGACATGGTGTTTTGGTGATGAGCAAACCTACTGGATTAGAGAAAGAAAGGCAGGGACTGAAAGGTGTCCCACAGGTTGCAAGAGCGAGCCCCACCAGCTGGCAAAAGCTAGAGGAGTGTTATGCTCAGCTTCTGGCAGGAGGGAAGGGGCCTGGGGCTTCCTCATTGCCAAGGTGCCCTCCTGGCCACCCCCTGCAAGTGGCAGATGTCAGAGCGCAGCTCACTCCAAATTATCTTCACCCAGCACAAAGAGGAAAAAAGCAGCAGCCACCAGCCTCAGAGATTGTCTTTGAAGGCCCCTCAGAGGAACATAAAGGATTTGTTCTGCTCATATGAAAACATTAGCACTCTTCAGCTTAGAAAGCTTGGCAGTTCGCATGCAAAAGGCGTATATAATAAAAGGGTAGCAGGGCGCCAAGAAGCAGTTCTGTTCTATTTCCCAGAGCAACCACCTGCTGAAATGCATTTTTGATCGCTCTGTGTCTGCTAAGGACTTCAATATACAGCATTACTAGCCAATTTTGAAAAATCAAGTGCTTTATTATAGAAAAAAAATTTAAAAAGTCAATTATCCCAAGACAAAAAGACATAAAGAATCTAAATTAGTCAAATCATATTTACGAATCTCCCTGAAGTGCTATTATACTGAAGTTCTCCCCTCCCACTGCTCAAAATCTAAGGTATCACATAGACAAATCAACATGAAATCATTTATGATCTAAGATGCAAAAGTGAATAATGGTTAGCTTTTTTATTTTTAGCAAAAATTTCTTTGCCTGTTTTCTCACCAACATTCAATGGGAGTAATATTTCACCTTGCAGCTGCAGGAGGCTTTTGCAATCACACTGAATAAAAGCAGTATCATAATGAAAAATTAAATTCTCACTCTTTATGCTTCAAAATTCTACCACCAATCTCACCATCTCTGCACCACCATCCTCCAGCGCACAAGCCATCTTTGTGGCACTCAAAGTCAGCTCTTGTAGCAGAAGCAGCATCACACAATTTTACACTAATGAAAAAGAGCATCTGTGGGCCCAGAAGTTGAGCAGAGGTGTTACATGCTACAGAATCTTAAATAAACCTAAGAGGAAACTGCATCCCAGCACACTTACTTTGTCACTGAACTGATGCTATTTGTGGTGCTAGGCATCTTTCCTAAAACCAATTCCATAATCCTTTCTTCTGCAGCTGAAGGCAGGGATACCTCTTCTGGCGGGACCTCAGCTACAACGTCAGCTACACGTTCCACTGCAAACACATCATAAAAATACAGAGTTAATGTGGACAGGTAGAAATAAAACCTCAAATGAAAAATTGGTAATGAGATCACATTGTTTATTCACAAACATATTATTTGTCCATGATAAATAATGGATTGCTAATGAATAAGTAGGTAGCACTTGCAAGATAGAAAAAGTCACTACTGAATGACAAGTAAGGTGTAGTCGACATCTCTTAAGGAGGCAGTTTCTTACCTTTCCAACCTATTACTAAGTTGTCAGTTGATTACGTATCATGAAATTTCCTACTAGAACTTCCCTTGAAGGAAGGTAAAGCCCTGAAAAAAGGTCCCTTTCAAGAATAAACTTTAAGGTAGACAGAGGAAAGTATCTCCTCTTGAGAGGGAGGATGCTTTATCTCCTGCTTCCTCTTGCAGAGAGCTAGGCAGGTCTCCCATAACTGCTATCCCGTGTTTCTCTGAGCCTCTCTATTACTAAAACTGTCACAGGAGAACAGAGGTAATCTAAGCGTAGGTGCTGCAACACCTACCGTAGACAAGGCCCTCAGAGATAACTAACAAAGTTTGTAAATTGTCTGCTTTAGTCATCTAACTGAAAGTCTCCATCTTGTCTCTGCTACTTTTTAGGTCTTTCTAAGAAGGCATCAATACAGAAGAAGAGGTAAGTGCTTAGCATTTTCTTAAGTTTTGCTTTACCTGCAGAATCTTTCTCTTCAGCAACAAGAGGTGTTTCTGCTTTTGCTGTTTTGGGCTTTCTTCCCCGCCTGGCTTTCCTCCTTGAGTCTGTACTGGCACCGGCTGCATCACAAGTCACTGGCTGATCCTCAGGGGAAGCTTCTGCTGCTTTCTCTGCAACAGCCTCATTTTGGCTGGTTTGGGGGGCACCTTTAGCTTGTTCCAGGTGACTCAGCAAATGCTCTGGGTGGATGGGAAAGAACATTAGAGTAAGGAGATAAGAAACTGTCATGAAATACTGAAATGGATAGATCCAGCTGAAGCTTGTCTATCAGGGCAACGTCACTTAGTAGAGACTCACTTCAAATTATTTCAAAAGCAGTCACAATACCTTCCTAAACAAAAGCGTACAGTCTGTTAAACACTGGAACAATTACAGGGACTGAATTATTAAGAGATTTATTAGAGATCACTATAAAAAGGTTGTGCTCCCTGATAATGGGCATGTTTTTCTAAGTGCCCAAGTTATTTAGCAGCCTAGGTTCCCTGTTCAAAAATGATTCATCAGATGGCCAGAGCTCTTCAATATTTTAAGTTCTTTTGAAAACTGCATGAAATAGCTGCAAATGAAATGCAATTAAAAAAAAAAAACAAAACAGAAGTATTTCATTAGCTTTACTAAATCTGTGCTGTAAATGCCACACAGAGTATCACTAAGAATAAGCTGGCATCACTGACCTTAAACATTGCTCATGCAGTTCCACATCCTTGATATTCTTAACATTCACATGTCATTTTCTAGACAAGTTTTATTTCTTCTAGATGTAACATTACAGTTATTTGCCCAGAGATTGACCACTGCCATATCCAAAATATCACTGTTTTACCATTTACCCTTTTTCTTAAAGGAACACAAAAATTAAGACTTTATGTTAGTGCATCATGGATGGGGCATGGCTTCACAGTGTCCTCCTCTGGAAGAGCAGAATTCTGATGCTTCTCAGTAGTCTCTCATGCATTTCTAGCACTTCTTACCTGTCAGCAGATGAGGCTCCTGGAATGCAGATGAACACACTTTACACGTCCACTGGCTGGACTCTGCTTCTGCATCTCCACTGCCTTCTGGAGTGTTCACTAAATCACAAGAAGAAATACTGAAAAGCTTTGAAAAGGGGCAGGTGAAAAATTGCTGCAGCTTTGCTTAACTTGCAGTGACTCCCTGAGTGTCACAAGTCACAATTTAAGCAGTAAGAGGCCCACAGGGGCAGCTGGGATCACTTCAGGATTTTCCAAATATGAACACTTGAAGCATCAGAACAGTGAGAAATCAGAACAGAAACGATGCCAAGAGGAGTATCAGTGCTCTTTTGAAGTCTTGAGGGTCCTTTTATCACTTTCTAAAGAACTGTGATTATAAAGAAATTTTTAGCACCTTTAAAAACGGTGTTACCAGTCCTCTTCTGGGTCACCTGAGGACAGAAGCAGGAGAGGCTTCTTTGCCCTCCGTGAAGAGCATTGCAGAGTAAGAACATTTGGATTAATGGAAGTAAGGGTGAGGACAATGATAACTCAATTTCATTAATCAGGTGTTTTATAAAACCACCATATTAGATATTTTAATTAACCTATCAGTTCACATGAGATGAAGAAAAAAAAAAAAGAAAAGAAAAAGAAGAAATTAGGGGGAAAATTGAACTGGAATAAAAAAAAAAAAAAAAAAATGAAAACAGTTGTTATTGTGTTCACTGTCCACAGTCTTTAAGTCCTTGGATGATATAGCTCAATTTGTTAAAGGGATCTGATAAATCTAGTCTGGTTCAGAGATTTATTTTTTTTTTGTACACAGAAAGCTGAAAATTCCACAGCTACAAGATTCCCTCAGAGGAGGAGTATGACACTGAAATTAGTTAAGTGAATGGCAGCTGTCCTGGGTTCAGCTGTAGCAATCATTTTTCTCCTCAGTAGCTGCACTGCAGTGCTGTGGTTTTGACTTTAGCCTGAGAACAGTGCTGATAACACACCGATGGTTTTAGTTGTTGCTCAGTAATGCTTACTCGGACCAAAGACTTTCTCAGTCTCACACTCTGCCAGGGAGGAGGGGAAGCCGGGAGGAAGCAGAGACAGGACACCTGACCCAAACTGGCCAAAGGGGTATTCCATACCACAGCACGTCATGCCCAGTATAGAAACTGGGGGGAGTTACCCGGAAGGCCCAGATCGCTGCTCGGGTCGGGCTGGGTATCGGTTGGGGGAACTGTGCCTCAGTTTCTGTCACAGATTTCCTGTATGATCATTAGCAAGTCAGTTCATCTGTCTCTGCCTGAGGAATCCATCTGTAATGGGACGATAAACTTATTCTTCCTTTTCAGTGTTGGCTCTTAGACCAAAATAAAAGATTCTCTGAGGCAAAGAGTGTCCCTGCTACAAGTTACGTTCAACATTCTGCACTACAGAGGTGTGATCTCATCCACGATGTAATAAATAAATAAAAAATGACTAGACAATTCAGCAACATCAGTTTATTCTTCACAGGCTACACAAAGAACTTCAGAACTCTGGCTGGGAGGCCAAAACCAGAAAACCTAAACCCCAACATTCTGCATAACTTCAAAAACCAGTCAGATTGGCAAGCGACATTGTAAACTGCTCCATCTGCCTCACAAAGTTGCAGACTAATAAAAATGAAAAAGCACCAACTGCAAAACTGAAGTCTGCCTTGGAAAATTGTCCCTGACTCTGCACTTCCCTTGCTCCTTTGCTGCCTCAAGGAGTAAACCTAGAAACCCTGGCCGTGCACTGGTTTGCCAGGAAGACTCACGTCCTGTACAAGTTCCCACTTCTTCAGGCTTCCAGCATGGCTGCAGGGCAACCCAGTTTACTTGGAAGAACAGATCTGTCAGTTGGCAACTGCTTTGTACCACTTGAGGCAAATAGTCAGAATCAAGAGAGGTGTATTTTGTTTTGGAAATACCAAAACATTATTCTCAGTGAGAACACTTTAGGGTTCCCAAAGTATAACACGCAGCATTTTGTCTCTATTGAAGTTGGACTTTCAGACAGGAGGATGAAGGGCCTGTTAAAACTCTTCATAGTTTCCTCCCCCCAGCAAAAAAATCAGTGATGCCAAAATCAAAGACAGCTCCCCAGTCAACTTCACATTTTAGCTGTGACAATATCCGATTAAATCAATGAATCTTCTGATGAATTGCTCTGTACACATCTGCAACAATTCTCCTCCTCTTCTGGCTACTTTTAGTATTAGTGAGCAAAATTCTGATAATTTGAACTATTACACTTTGCAGAGAGTCTGAAGATTTTCTTTGGAATTGTCCCCACCCTTATCACCTCCACTAACCACCTCCAAAGTCAGAAGTGGTTGTGGTTTTCTGTCACTTTTTAACCTGCAAATGTACGTTAAGCACAAGGCCCATGAAAATAAAAAGAAAAAAAAACCACCAGACTTTCAAATTCCTCTAAACTAGTATTTGTTGAAAGCTATATAACGATAGTATCTGTATAGAAGTGGTACATAAACAGCTCTTCAGATCTGTATCTGTCCTCTGAGTCCTTTAAAAATACCATGATTTTGCATACCTGCTGGATCAGCTGCTGGTATGCTGGATTTCTTCGTTTTTTTATGGGGGAAGACAGCAGATGAAGGTTTTGAAGAGGTTTTATTTCCCTCTTTATCAGATTCCATCACTACCAAGCACATATCTGTGAAGAGGAAAAACAGTTCCTTTTCTTTACTTTCCAGACCCTTTGATCCTCTTGCTCTGTGCTGAGAGCAGTAATTTTAGTCAGAAAGTTTTGCCCCTTAGTAGGCCTGAAAAATACATCCTCATGTAAAATCCTAACTGGGACATTCTTATGCCTGAATCTCATAAAATGTGCCTTTTATATTCTGAAGTGTATAGTGGAAGTGCTGAACACAGAAAGCAGGATGTACTGAAACAATATTTTTAAATACCCATATGAACACAAAAATACATGAACAGGTTAAAATAAAGAGGAAACTCAGTTAATACCAACAGGAAACATCTCAGAATTCAAAAAAACCTTAACTGCATTGATTCAGCTGTAGCACTTAAGAAAGTGCTTACCACTGAGATTAGCCATCAAGCATGCTGATGGCAATGCCCTCTCCCCAAGCCATTTGTCACCCCAAATTATACTCAGTGTAGCAGTAATACCATTCAAGGAGTACTTGAACTCAAGAGCAGAACAAAAATGCCCTTGCAATGCTAAAGGATCATGCCTTTTAGCTGTAGAAATGCGAAAGCAGAAGAAAATGAAGAGGCAGAAGAACAAAAGACTTCTGGCAATTCCAATTCAGATTCTAAAAAAACTGCTGCCTTTCTTTGGCAATGCACAAGCAATCGTGGAATGGCAGTTCACTCTTGAGCTTAACTTATTCTAGTGGGTCCCATGTAAGGCTGCATAAGATACAAGGAGGTTTTTAGAACTGTGTAACAGTTCTGAGCAAAAGCAAAACATTTTCACTGCAACTGAAAAAGAATGCTTCTTGAGCAAATCTGCATATATGTTTAGACTTCCACTGATACTTGGGTTCCTTTGCTCTCTACCCAGAAAAGTTTTGATGCAACCACCACTTCTTTAGTTAAGAACTATTTATCCAGTTTGTTTAATCTGAAGATGCTAAATCATCAATTAGGCCATCCATTTTCAAAACCTCAGATATATCACGGGGAAGAATCTATCCTTTCTTCTCATAGGGCAACCATGTATGCAGGTTAGCCTGACTCTAAGGTTAATAAACAGGGTTAGAAACTATTTGATAAACAGCACTGTCAACTACACCAGTAGGGGACTATGAGTCCCTATCAGGACTGGGCCCTTAGGAAGGAAAAAAGGCCCCCACACATACCATTGGCAATACTAGAGACCTGCTTCAGCACTGGCTTTTCCATTTTTTTGGCGTAAAAAGCTGCATACCACACTCGCAGCTCAGTTCCTGGTGGGATGTCCTGGGAGGTGGTGAAGTAAATATCATTGTCATGCTGGAAGGCAGTTAAGTTTTGATGCTCATATTCGGTGGCTGGTCGCACCATCATCATCCAGTTGCAATCATCTTCATTTGAGGTGTCAAAATATACCAGGGGTCCATCCTTCTGGAACACCTACCAACCAAAATATGCATATAATAAAACCCTAACAAATAATACAAAGTTAAAAAGAATCTTTATTTTCTGCTTTTGCAACTGCTTCCATTCAATGTACATCAGAAACAAAGCAACTTTCATCAACACTTTCATCAACATGTATGTGATGTGATGTATCTGTCACATCTTCAGATGAGGAAGACTGAGACAGACTACCAGGGGCAGGGTGGGAACAAACTGAACTTTTACCTGAAGAATTCTTGCTATAGCCACCAGTTTCTCACAAAATTTGAATGACTGAATACAGGAGAATGGAGGAGAATGCAAACAGCATGCCCAATTCACATTTCTAAATCTTTAATTCTGAGTTAGGTATTACTGAAAACTAAAACTGAATTTAATTTTTACTGTAGCATTATTCCTACCAAAACTTGGCAAGAGAAGAGTAAAAAAAAAGTAAGACAGAAAAAAATATTAATTCTGCATGTTCCATAACCCCAGTGTGTATGTCACTCGGTACATGCAATCAAATTGAAGAAACTCATTAAAACAACTGAAATGAACTGCCATAGTCATTGTCCCTCTTGTATCATCACATGCAAAAGGCGAAAGTCAAGCAGTTTTGCTGACTGTATCCCAGCCCTGTCTCCTATACGGATGTTCACATCAAACATGCAGAATGAGGCTATTGTTTGCTGCTTCTGTATGCTGCTCAGAGAATGGTTGTTTACCTAGTCCGCTACAGGGCATGCTTAAAAGATGTTCCAAATGACCCCCCTATACATCTTTTTCCCATAGTGTTAGATAGCGTAAATTCATCATGGGTAAAACTGACTCCTTGCTATTGCTTTCCTTGTGCCCTGTCTTACCTTCAGGGGAAAAACTGATTCTTTTTCCAGCTTGGCAACTCTCTTGGATTCAAATGGGCCAAATTGGGTACGTTTTACTAGCTGAGTCAGAGCAAACACTCCTTCAGACCCATCTTCCAATTGTCTTATCTCCAAATTAGAAGGCAGAGATGATCTAAAAATTGAAGAGATAATTGAGGAAAAAAAACCCCAAAACGTTACACATAGGACAACAGTACAGAAACACACGGAAGAAGGAAGTCAGCATGTATTTCTCCCATCTCAGAGACAGCCAAGTTTTCTGATTGACATAGCCTAACTTCTATGAGGATTTATAAATAAAAAGAAGAGAACAACTACCAGCAGTTGAGGAGGGCCACACTGGTGATTAAATGAGAGGGCTCAATCCATGTAAGATCAGGGACTGACAGATTGCACCTGAGGGTGGTGACAGAGCAGTCCAATACCATAGTGAGACTATTCTCAATTGTCTTGGAAAGATCATGGGCATCAGGGAGGCCTCTGATGACTGGAGACAAATGTTGCACCCATCTTCAAAAAAGCCCAACAGGATGATACAAGGAACTGCAGGTTGGTCACCCTCACTTCTGTCCCTGGGAAAATCATGGAACAAGACCTTTTGGGAGGCATTCAGGGGCACATGAGAAGGTGACTGGAAACAGTCACCATGCATTGATTAAGAGCAACTCATGCCAGACAAACTGTTTGCCTTCCAGGATAAAATGACCAGGTTTGTGGATGAGGGAAAAGCAGTGGATGCCATTTCCCTTGACTTCAGTAAGGCTTTCAACACTATCTCGCTGGCCAAGTGGGATGTTACCAACTGGGTGGGTACACAACTACTAGAGTAAATAACTTGCTGGGTTGTCAGGTTTAGAGGGTCATGATCTTTACCTGGAGGCCATAACTGGGGTACCACAGAGGTCTGTGCTGGGACTTTTGTATTGTTTAACATCTTTATCAACAACCTAGAATGGACAATGGAGTGAGCTCCCATCCAGTTCGCAGATCACACTGACTGGGGGACATAGTCAGACGGCAGGACTGCTATCCAGAGGCACCTGAATAGCCTGGAGAGATAGATACACTGACAGGAACCGCATGAAATTCCAAGGACAAATGCAAAGCCTGCATGTGGGAAGGAAGAACCCCAGCCAGTACCATCAGCAGAGAGAAAGACCCTGGGGGAGGTGGTGGATAGCAAGCTGGACATGAGGCTGTAGCATGTCCCAGAAGCAAAGGGGACCAAAAGCATTCTGGATAGTACGAACTGAGCAGCCAATAGACTGAGGTGAATGATCATCCCCCTCTGCTCTGCACTTGCTAGATCACATCTATTGCCTCCTATTTTGGGCTCACAAAACAGAAGGACGTGGACAAACTGGACTGAGCTCAGAGGAGGACCACCAGTATGGTCAAGGGCTAGAGCAGGGAGGACAGGCTGGGGCAGCAGAGCTTGATCAGCCTGGGGAAGAGACGGCTGTGGGGGCCCAAACAGCCATCTGTGCACACCTACAGGCCTGTCATTGGGATGGAGGAATCAGGCTTTTCCCAGGAGCTCACGGCAAGAGCGGAAGAGACAATAGTGTCAGGGCTGTTAAGACAGTAGGCCCCATTAACACTTGCTGCAGGAGATCATCCATGCAGGTTTCCAGGCATAGGAAGGCAGGGCCTGGTAGGAACTGCAAGAAGCTTCCTTTTCTGGGAAGGCCCAGAAAACCAGCTATGCAGCCAGTGTACACTGTGGGACACCAAGAGCATCCTGCCCATGAAGACAGGTCAGGGCACCCACATGGCAGAACCAGCACATTCAGTATTTGTTACTGGGATTACACAGTATGACCTACACAGCCAGCATAGAATCAGCTAGGTTGGAAAAGACTTTTAAGATCATAAAGTCCAACCATTACCCCACCACTGCCAAGTCCACCACTAAACCATGTCACTAAGGGCCTCATCTATACTGTTTTTGAACGCTTCCAGGGATGGTGATTCCACCACTTCCCTGGGCAGCCTGTTCCAATGCCTGATCAGCTTCTCTGTGAAGAAATTTTTCTTAATATCCAATTTAAACCTCACCTGGTGCAGCTTACGGCTGTTACCTCTTGTCCCATCGCTTGTTACTTGGGAAAAGAGACCAAACTCAGCTCACTACAACCTCCTTTCAGGTAGCTGTAGAGAGTGGTAAGGTCCTCCCTGAGCCTTCTCTTCTCCAGCTAAAAAACCCCAGTTACTTCAGCCGTTCATCACCAGACTTGTGCTGCAGACCCTTCAGCAGCTTTGTTGTCCTTTTCCGGACCATGCTTAGAATACATCATGTGCCAGACTTGTAGTCCATGTGCCCATGTTTTCTGTCCATGACTTCCCAAGAAGAAATACAGAAGCCCTAAGCACATTATATATAATACAAGAAGCCATCTGAACTCTCTTTCCTTTTTGGATTTGCACTGCATCTTCACGATAGTTGTTTCTCTTCCTTAGCCTTACATTTTACACATTACTATGAAGTTTGCTTACATTCCCGGTTGCCTTTCTCTATAAAAATCACTGCTTAATGTTGTTTTCTCTGATTAGATTTAGCCTATTTGTTTATTTTGGCAAGCATGAATGTTTCTGCTGTGCTGTCACACATTTTCTGACAGAAGCATTACCCCTAATCATTCATGAAGTCTTACAATAATGAGAAAAACTTGTTTTGCCTCTCAATGAAGGAACTACAAAGGTTATACCAAGCAGGAGGACACAACCATTCATACAAATAAGAAATCCCCACACACTTCTCTGCATCTAATACAGTACATATGAGGAGGGGAAACAGTTGCAGGTACTCAACCAAGACAGAAGTCATCACCCCATCTGGCAGTATCTGACTTTTTGCCAGAAACCTCAGCAAAGAAGCCAAGTCCTGATGAGCAGCAAGTTATTTTTTGGCTTCGATTCAGTAAAGCACTTAAGGGTATGCATCAGTATTTCTATTTAATCAAGGCCATATGCTTTCCATAGACTGGGACTTCACTTTTCAGCTGTCAGTGTGACACTCATTAAACAGCAAATGTGCTTTAAAGAACTAACATGAGTGTTGGGCTAATCAGAACTAACACAAATGTTCCTTACCTTGCCCTGCTCAATACAAAGGAGTCTTTGACTGTCACCACTGGGCCGAGTTCAGGACACTCTGAATCATGGTACTGCCCACAGTCCTCACACCCTGCAAGGAAGCAGACAGCATACAGAAAGGTTGATGGAAAACACTTCCGTTAGACAGCTGCCTTCTCCTTTCAAGAGCCAAATACAAAATCTAGCACCAGGCAAAATACATACATACAGAGGCAGATGTTTATTTATATTGCTTGAAAGAACATGTATAATTGAACATCAAGCTGACAGCTGGCACTTGTGTAGGTGAGATAACACACACCATGATCAGTACTATCAGAAGACAATTGTCAAAAATCTCTCTCAAAGGAAAATAATTGCCTTACATCTACAGTAACTATTCTACTTAAAGATGACATTATTCTTCAGATGAAGTGCCATAACATCTAGCAGCTAAAGAAAACCTCATCAGCACCCAGGCTTTTAGAAAGAGCTTGGGTAGGATGGTCTTTTTAGTGACAGGAGGCGCAAACCCAACACCAGCAGCAGAGCTGGCACAGGGTCTCAGCAGTGCATGAGCATGCTGTGGGCGCACAGCTCTGCCCAGAGCCATGCCAGGCCCACTCACGCTCCTCATCCACAGCGCAGGGAGAGATATCTTCAAGATACCTTCTGGTGCCTTTCCAAACAAGTCAGCTGGCTGCACAGGACACTTTGGCCACTTCTTAATTCACTGTTTGCCTACCTAAATTAGCTTCTAGTTTACGTGGCTGTAAATTACCCAGAACTGAATGGTTCCTAAGAAACAATTTTCAGACCAGGATAATTTGTGGCTTTCTAAAATAAGCCAACTGAACAGGATTTCAAATGCATATACCTTGCTTCACTGTAAAAAATAGCTGTCAGACTGCCCTGCCTGGTCAGCTGCTAATGCAGTTTAAGAAGAGATCATCACACAAGGGTTATATTCCTACAGTGCGATATCCACCTGAGCTCCAGACTCACAAGAGCAAGTCAGACAATCACAGTATGGGTGCAAAGTAGAGGGTGGTTACGCTTTGGGAAGAGAACAAGAAAAAAGCCATGTCATTCCAGGGTATGCCCCTTCCAGTAAAGCTACTCTGTACTCCTAACTGGAAACGTCTCCCTCTCAGTATCTGTCCCAGTGAACTAACAAAAAAATTTCTTCTTAGATGTGGAAAATTTCTTCTTAGATGTGGAAAACTATAATGCAGAGCTCCACATTGTTTCTTCTTCTGGCAATAAAAACAGCTTAGCAGTCAATATGCACATACATTTGACAAACGGTAGTACCAGCTCATGCAACCCCCAAGCCTGGCTGCTGCTCCCTCTACAGCTGTTTGTGCTGCCTTCTGGTGAACCAAAGAAAGGATCATCAAGCGTTTCCAATCAGTTTATTTTTCAGCTGAATGAATTTCCCAGTCCAGTTTGCTGTACAGCACCAGCTAGCTACACCAGATGAAAGGATCAGTGGGAAAGTGCTGTCCACTTAGCACCAGCATCACAACTAAGCCTACAGCCATCCTGCACTGTTTACCATACCACCACCCTTAGGTGTGCCTATAACTCACACTGTGCTTAATATTACTGAAATTATCTGGGATAAATACAAATTTCCAAAACCAGACAGGGCGAAGAAGACATAGAGGAATGTGCAAACCAGACTACTGAAAAGAACTGGATTATCATCTACAAAGGGTTATCATAACCAACGGGGACAGGAATAGCTGGAGCAACAGCTTCTTAAATGGGCTTTGCTGCCAAAGGAAATGAAGCACTTCATCCTTCCCCTCATCTTTCGGCTGCACCTGGACACCCCTCACATCTTCAAAGAACCAGCAGCCACTACACAGGTTCAACAAGGGGCAGACAGCATTGTCCAAAACTACATGCAGGAATCAGCTACGTATTTCTCTCACTCCTTTGCAGATGAATGACGAAAGCAGGGAGGACATGATACTGATACATTGTGTAGCATGTCTCTCAAAATCTAAGGGATGCCTTTCAGCAGACATTCCCCAAGGCTTTTACACTCACCATATGTGACACTTTCAAGAGATTGCAGCCATAGGAGGAATATAAAACTAAGCATGGGATAAATGGTAAAATACCTTGGGGGAAGTATATACACAGACTTCTATTAAAAAATTCCAAAACTCTCTTTTGTCCATGAAATACATGATCAACGATGGTAACTGTCCAGAAAGAATGTGCCTGCATCCTCCATCTGTGGAAGTGCAGATCTTCAACTCAGGCTAGAGGTCAGAGTTCTTCACAGACACCCTTGGCTGCTAAAGCTGGCTGTATAAATGAAGGGCTTAGGCCAGTGTTAGGCCTTCAATCTCACTTCAACCATGAAAAAGCTGCTCTGGTAACTCACATTCAGAGGTTTCTTTGTGTGGTGCAAAAAAAAAAACAAACCAACAAACCCCAAACAAGAGAATGTGTATGCTTAAAACGAGCAACCTTCTCTCTACACCCCCATAAGCTGTTTAAGCTTCCTTTACATAAATACTTTCCTAAATAAAAACTTAGCCTGTTTTAGTCTTTAATGTCAAACATTCTGAGTAGACAAGTCACATCATGAGAGTTAGGTCATTTTCTTTTCTAATACTTACAGATAAACATAGTCTCATCACTGCCATCTCCAGCCATTTTTAAACCTGCCAAAATACAAAAGATGAGGTTAGTTCTGAATGACTTCAACTTTCCATATTACGGGACCCCTTTATGGTGTAATGATGCTGACTGACCCAAAGCCATACCCAAACACACTACTGTCCCTGCAGGAGTATCAAGGGAAAGTTAAAGAATTTAAAGTTGCTGAAAATCCCCCAGTGACTCCTGTATCATCATGTGTGCTGCTCAATTCACCACAAAGAAGCCTAAGTGTCTGCAGGTTCACAGGCATTTCTCTCTGAGGCAACGCTGTCGCACACCATTCCTCATCCCTCCTCCCACCAGCCTTCAGGCATTCCTGTGTGTCCCCTGCTATAAGCTCCTGTGGAGCCTCAGAACAAGCAGAGCCAGAGGACTAATCCAGGCCAGCCACAACCACCGCAGAAACAAGGCACATCTGGTTCAGTGCAACATTTTGTTGAACAGTAGCTTAAAAAACTGCCTCTGAAGGGTGGATTAGTTATTTAATAAACACAATAAACTCAAGAACCTAAAAACTGCAGATACACGATTTGTTCCAAAGGCAAAGGTACACTGTGGTAATGAGCACCAGAAAACCTGGGAAAACAAATCCCATCTCTGTAACTGACCTTCCATGAAATCATAACTCACCAATTTGCTTTCACCTGTAAAATAAGGATAAACTATATTCACTTTTATAAATCAGTTTTGGCAGTATGTACTAAAAACTTGCATAAACGCTACCTATTGCTCCTCAATGATGTCCAGACAATCTAAATGGTTGGCAAATAGTCTCATTATGTATGGCTAAGATCATGACACAAGCAAGATCTAGAAGACAGTTTTCGCTTTTCTAACCATGAAAAGGCTCTCCTCTTCAAATAAGCAATTTTCCCAACAGCCCAATGAGAGGCAAAGCAACTCGAAGATCATGACCCAAGCCTAAGAGAGAACGAGGCTGCAGAAAGGGCAAGCACGTTGGTCAAGAAGAAAACAGGAAGGAGTAAGAGACTGAACCTGTGAGAGGGAGGACAGGAGAGGAAACATGACCAGAGACACACCAAGCTAGCAGAGCCCTGTTTGAAAAAATACAATGCATTTGCCACTACAACAACGAAAGCCAAGCCAGAGATGTGTATAAACACAGCTGTTACTCAGGATCAGCACAGGAGCAGGACTTCCCATTATGAGTTTACTCTTGAACACTGATGCTTCATATGCTCTGCCTGGCTGGGCCCTGGAAATACGCCTCGGGCTGGAGCCTGGAGCAGCAGCTACTCCTGCACAGATACCAGCTCTACTGACTTCTCAGCACAAGTGAAGTCTCTGTCCCGCAAAACCCCTTCCACTGTTTCAGGAAGGACTCCATACTTCTGCCAAGCCTGCTAATGCCATGATGGCCCCTGTGCATGCCAGGCAGCAATGTCCAGTAGTAGCTGCCAGCTGCACCCATGCTCCGCTCCCCCTCAAATCTCCACCAGAAGCAGCAAACAGGTTCCTCCACCAATCCAAAGGCTACTCCCAATTAGCAAAGGACAGTCCGTCACCACATGGAGGGGTGCTGAGTGGAAAGCCAGCATGTCAACTGACAGGAATACAAAAGGATTGCTGTGGCTCTTGGTCATGGCAGGAGGGATCCTGCTGCTTAGTTATCTGGGCAACGGCCTAAGGAGGATTTTGGTCCCTGAGTCTGGGCATCCCGGCACTCCACCACGGCCTGTCCCAAGCACTGCCCTCCCCAACTCCAGCTCATGTCAACAGCACAGTCCCACCTAACACCCCCTGCCCCAGTAAGGGGCCAGCACTGCCCATATGCAGCACAAGCTAGGTCTTTCTTGGCTACTCTTATAATAGAACACTTAAACATGTATATAAACTCCCAGTGTTGAGCACAAGCAGCAACTCAGGGAATTTCCCAAAAGCTTTTTTCCTGAAAGTACTGTAAGCAATGCCACAGGTGTTTACAGAATCCTAGAGTACAATGGTGCAAAACAAGCCACAGAAACTGCATCTTAGGTTGATGTCAAAAACAGTTGGCTTTGCTTTTTAACCAAGATGTTGCGCAGATGCTCTGCACTATTTCAAGAGGTGTACATCCAGTTATTTTTAGATAGTTTTTGTCCTGACAAGACTTTAATCCTAAATATGGCTGAATTAACAAATACTCTTCTTGGTCAATGGTTCAGATATGCAGGGGACACAGTCCACAATGCTGCTGTGTAACCTGCTCATCAAAGGCATTCACCTCCTAGGACTTTCCTGTGCCGCATTCTTCACGAACTGCAGACTGATGACCCGCGGCATTACAGAAGCAGCCACGTCAGTCTTGTTCTAGGGACCATAGATGAAAATAGCAGCAAAGGGGCGGGGAAATCATAGTACCAGAAATGTTGTTCAAGGTGATGGGGAAAAAGCATAAAAGTCCCTCAGACATACCCTGTGCCATTGATAAGGACGCTACATCTCACTTATCATCTGCATTAGCGCAATTCTCACTTTCGCAGCAAGTACTTTCATTTTCCACTCTGCAACGTTTCTGATTTGTTATCCATCTTTCCTGTGCTCAGCACAATGACCTGCTGAAATAATTCCCTCTGAAATAAACAGGAAATAAAATTTCCCTCTGAAATACACAGGAACAGGTAACAAACACCTCAACACACAGGTGCAAAGAGAGGCCTACCTTATGCTAGTATCTGCACCTTGCTATGAACTGCTGCGTGGTCTTTTTCCCCCCCTTTCTTACTTTTACCTCACAGAAAGTGTAACGAAAAGCTGCCCCAAAATGGGTTTAACAGTTCTGCTTTGCAGACACATAGTCACACACATACTGCTCACCCATAAGCTTCAAAACTCCTTGCAAATCTCAGCTGTATTTCCCAAGAGTTTTTGAAATAGATGACATTATGCCACCCACCTCAGCTGGTAAACAGAGTCACGACGTGCCATGCAAGCTCACACAATAGCACTTAAGACAGACTTCAGTTTTCTACCCTTATCTGCTGCTGCTATGGGCCATGTCTGATTTTCTTTTTCAAGCATTAGTATCAGAAAAATATTCCATTAAGCCACTCATCCTTCTGCACATGATCATGTTCTTGCCTTGCAGAGATAATAAAAGCTTCTGGGAATTCCACATATTTTTGTATAAAGCAGAGAGCAATCCTTAAGCAGTGAATAACCAGGTGAAAAGCGAGGCAGAAGTTAGACCACAGGTACAAGGCCTAATTCTGATGGCAGAAAACCAGAATTTTCTGCTTGTATAATTAACTGAGTGACTTTGTGCCTGAGAATAATACACAGAGCTAAGCAAACTCCAGCTGCAACACGGGCCTCTGGACACGTCTGAAACTCAAGGGAACCCAAATGCAGACACTGAGGGGATGCAGCAACACAGGTATCTGTTTGTAGAGCATGATATGCAGCATTAGGGAACCACTCGAGCCATAAGCTATCCAAAAAAATAAGACCTGGTGTAACAGCATACTTTTCCCTTACAAAGTGCTGAAGAAAGAAATCATGCTCCAGTGGCAGGTTAAGTAATTTTGACCTTGCAAACAGGTTTTAAAAGAACACGTAAGTAAAAACTAAAAATAAACCCTATCCTTAAAAATCTGTATTTAATGACCAACAAAGTAAAGACACAAGTTCCTCTTTCTTTTTGCTTCAGTTTTCCATTAAAGTTCTAGAATGGGCTTCAACTAGTGGGAATAAGTAACGTGAAAACACAAGCAGACGGGTACTGCACATACATGTGTGCAAGCAAAATGCACTTAAAAATACACATTGTTTTTTTCATGATGTGGTCTAGTTTGTCATGCTACTGCTCAAAGTAATCAAACAATCTGGCAGAACATCTGGTAAACTACAGAAAGGCACTGCATTTCTAAAGAAGTATGACCATTCTATCAGTTACTGTTGAGAAGGGAGAGTGGGACACTAAGTACCAGTTAGGGGGAGCACAGAGTGGGTACTGAGGTTACCCACCTGCCCTTTCCATTGTTTCCTGTGATCACTGTCACTCTGCCTCGGGTGCATAGAGTACGTGCAAAGTTTAATGCACACAAGCAGAAAACAAGCGTATGACAGAAAATGTGTGCAGGAAGCACTGCAGGCTGGGGCTTTCTTCCTTTTGTCTTGCAATGAACACATCTCACCTCCTCTAGTACCTGAAGGGGGCCTACGGGAAAGCTGGAGAGGGACTTTTTACAAGGGTGTGGAGTGATAGGACAAGGGAGGATGGCTTCAAGCTGAAACAATGTAGATTTAGATTAGATGTAACGAAGAAACTGTTCACTATGAGGGTGGTGAGACACTGGAACA